CATTGCACTAGTGGCCACCTGATTCCCTTGTACACACATCAAATTATCAATCATCCTCTATATATATATATATATATATATATATATATATATATATATATATATATATATATATATATATATATATATATATATATATATATATATATGATATGCCTAATTGGGCCAACCCAATGGGCCTACAATTTCTTTACCTACTGGGCTACGAGCCCAATATCGAAGATCAATATCACCGAGGCCCAAATACCTTCAAGCAAGGCTTGGGCCCAACAAAGCAAACCCAACTCAATAAACGACATATAAATAGAGGTTTTACTCATTTTATTAAGGTACGTCCTATTAACTGAGCAATACTACAATACGTAGTCTTTGGACTAATTCTATGATCAGCACGTCTGACTTGAGCGTCGGAGGGGTTTCCGCCGGATCAACCCCCGGCGTAGTTCACGTGTGTTCATCTTGCAGGTACCTCAGGATCATCAAGTTGTCAAGCTACTGATCCGCTTTGCTCTCCCAACTCATTTTCTACACTATCCCAAGTGATCTACATTTTAGCATCATCATTTTGGCGCCGTCTGTGGGAACGATGCAAACCAAATCACGTAGCCAACAAGATCCTCCTGAGGCGTCTGCTCGGAGAGAAAATGACACAGCTAACGACCTCCCACCTCGTTGAGGCTCTGGCTTGCCACCTTCTCTACATCCCATGGATCCGCCTCGCGAGGTTCAGGTGATCCCCCTCGGGACCCACCACTCGCCGATCCACCACTCCCTGCTCCTCGAATGGTTCAAATAACCGGGGATGCGCTTCAACGCATGATAGCAGAAGCTTCAACTCCCGCTGTCACAGAGGTCGTGACCCAATATATCGCCACGATGGGAGCAGATGCTCCCAACGCGATACCAGCACCTGCTCCACATGTGGAGCCACCTATGGCACCACCGCCATCGACTCCCTGGGGGCTTACATCTGCCCCCAAAATATTTCGCTCGCCAAGGGTTATCGACTCCCTGGGGCTTACATCACCCCCAAAATATTTCGTTCGCCAAGGGTTATCGACTCCCTGGGGGCTTACATCTGCTCCCAAAATATTTCGTTCGCCAAGGGTTATCGACTCCCTGGGGGTTCACATCGCCCCCAAAACATTTCATTCGTCATAGTAGGAGCCAACGCTCCTCCTCGTGAGGCCCCACTGGGTCCCACCCAGTGGGGTCCTCAACATGATCAATTTCTACTTACTTCTCGAACGGTTCAGATAACCGAAGAAGACATTCAGCGTATGATCACGGAAGATTCAACTCGTGCTGCCACTGAATCAGTGGCACCATATATCGCCAAGGTGGGGCATCTCACCCCAGTGGTTCGTGATCGCCTCATTCTAAATGGGGAGCTATCCCATCCTAAAGTTGGGCATCTCATCTCAAGGGTGGTACATCCACTGACCTTTCAACCCCAAGGGGTTTCACATCCCATCAAGTGTTTCACGTCCCTACTTCAAAAACAGAAAAAATGGTCTGACGCGCACGCACGAACCAATGACACAACCGTGCGCATCAACCTCAGACCATAGGTCTCGAGCGCCTCATCCTACAGTGGGCAGTTATCCCCATCCTAAGGTTGGGCATCACCCTTACCTTTCAACCCTAAGTGGGTTCACATCACATCTCAAGAGACGAGTATAATCTCCCTACTCAAAAAATAGAACATCCCCAAGGGGGTGCACATCCCATCTCAAGGAACGAGGATAATCTCTCTACTCAAAAAATAGAACATTCCCAAGGGGACGCACATTCCATCTCAAGGAACGAGAATAATCTCCCTATTCAAAGAATAGAACATCCCCAAGGGGGTGAATATCAACCAAATAAAAAAGAAAAAGAAAAAAGATGAATATGAAAAAATAGAAGAAAAAAGAAGATGATGAAAAAAGAGAAGAAGAAATAATAAGAAAAAAGAAGATGAAAAAATAGAAGAAAAAAGAAGATGATGAAAAAAGAGAAGAAGAAAGAAGAAGAAAAAAGAAGATGAAAAAATACAATAACAAGAGGTGGCCAGAATAAGCCAAGCGGCGCCTTCGCCCACCAAGCCGCGCGCCCGCCAAGCAACGCGCACCTTTATTTTGGGGGCCGGCGCGCGTCAACATAAAGCCAAAAAAAAAAAAAAAAAAAAAAAAAAAATGCAAAAGTGCTGTCAAAGCGCGTGCGCGTGCAGCACACGCGCCAGACGCGCGCCGCCCTCAGTACGCGCGCGCTGGGAGCAAAAAAAAAAAAAAAAAAAAAAAAAAGGCAAATGGATGCAGCGCGTGCACAGTAGCGCGCTAGGGGCAGCGCACATCTGGAAAAGTCACGCCTCGATCCGCGCGCACGAGTGAGACAAAATAAATAAATAAAAAAAAGAAAAAAAAATTAAAAACGGCAGCATAGCAGGCACGCACCTGCTAATGCTGAGCCACCCATCACATCATTGCCATCTTCTCTACACTTTGCGTCAGGCCTCCCATCACACTGCCGTGCGTGCCCCCTATACCATATTAAATCGCGCGCGCTTTCCCATACCACATTAATTTGCGCGCGTCTCCACTTTACTTACCAAATTGCGCGTATATTTTGACGCGCTTTACCAAATTGCGCGCGAATTTCTTCACGATCTACCAAATTGCATGCCGATTACACCCCGCTTTATCAAATCGCGCGAGAATTTCAACGCGCTCTACCAACTCGTGTGCTCTCTCCAAATAAAAAATATTATTTCTCCACGCCACACCAACGATTAACGAAACACTACAGCACAGATCTACTCTCGATACGATCCGATATCATTTTCGACTAGGCTCCCACATCGAATCGAGAGTGAGGGGCTTGCGAGACAAACCCACCGCGAGACAACTCCCACGAGGAGCAAACTCGCTC